TTGCGTTCGATACCACCACAGCAAAGACAGCCCTGGAAGCAACTTGTCCTGCTTTGTCAACAGGTGGCCAGCAACGCTAGTCCGGACGCTCGGTCGGCACGTCGCTGAACTCTAAAAGCAACCACTTGTTCATTTCGCATATCTTACGGTACATTTGTCGACAAAACGATGTTTGTTGGGCAAGTCAGTACAGACGTCTTTCACAACAATATATTTATTTCTCATTAAATTTTTGATATATCCCGCTTATAGATAGTAAAATATAAATCCGGTATTATTAATGGATCACATGGCAATATTTAAAGAACTGTACATGGTGCGATTTACGTCTTACAAACAGTCATACTATTTCTATACTTCGATCAGCCTCGCTGAGAAGCGCGCATAAGAATGGTTATTGATTATGCAGCCACAAAATCAATAACCATTCCGGAGCATACTTCCTTATAGCGAAAACGGAAGTACGGAAATAGCCTAAGGTTAGGCGAAAACAGTAAGAAGAAGGAGGAGATATGAAAAAGAAACGACATCACTTCATGAATTTCGATCGCTAATCATAGCTCTCGGTTTTCGTAAGGGAGGAAAGCACCAATTCGTTTCGTTCATGACGTCACCCGACAAAAAATCCGACTTGAACGCTTTGGGTTAAATCGTAATTCACGATTTAGCGTGGGCGATCAACGGAGTCCTAGCCGTTACCGCGACGCATCAGTTATGCGTGCGGTAATCGATACCGCGTGTGTTGCGTCATGTTAGGAGGAAACCTAATTTACGCGCTCAGCTGACTTCGCTCTTTCGTATTTCTCTAACGGTTTCGATCGCTATCACACTGATAATTCACAGTCTAATCGAGTTTCGGTTCTTTTTCGGTGGAAAGGACGTATGCATAAGCAAAGTACTCTCTCCGACTCGGAAAGCCTCCGATGTAGCTGCTCCTATGAATAATCAGTAATGACCAATGTTGTCAACGTGATAGTTTTGTTTAGTCGATGAACGAAAGAGCGAAGACGGGCCGACTAGTGCCCTGGGCACGCTGATCCCGTAATGGCGTAACACACACGTTATTGATTACCGCACGCTTCCCTCACGCGTCGCGGCAATTACCGCAGAGCAAGGCACATCGTTGATCGCAAATGATCGTGAATTACGAAAGCATCCTAAATATGATCGATGTATACCCGGTTAGACGAATTCGCGTTCTTAATGTAAGTCGAAGGTGTTGGCGGGTATTCATATGCGAAAATCGCGAATGCGGATTACGCATCCTCTTTGACGTCAAGGAAAAGGCCAACAATGACCAGATAGTTCTCTATCTAGCGGAGAACGAACGCATGTAGCAACAGTTATACAGATCAGATCATTCGAAAAGGGCAAACGGAAGGGAATGTGGTAGAAGAGGCCAACTCTACAAACGGACGTCAGCACCATCGATTCTCATCACTTACATACATACGCACAAGTACTAAGCTACAATCAGTCTCGTAACATAACTTCATGAGTATAAACCTAGAACATTCGCAAAGTGATGATGAATACCAGTAACGCAGTGAGTCTGAGCGTTGTCGAAGCTGAAACAGGTTGTAAATTGTTTTGTCGTTCGTTAACTGTGAGGCCTCAAAGGTCCACCATACTCGGGAACCGAGCATGTGGGCGCTAAAAGGCTTCTGTTACGTACCTTTGACGGTAGTGGTGGTGATGTCCTTTGGATGGTCAGTCACTGATTCTGATGGCGTGTTCTCCGTGGATTCCATCGTGGTCATGACCGGTGTAGCGGTAACGTCTTCATTGTTGATCACAATAGGTGTGGTGTCCTTCTGAACTTGAATAGACGGCGGCGGCATTTCGTCTCGAACCACATGCTGTGGTTCCACATCTTTAGACTGATCCAGAGTGTTGGTTGGTACCGACTGCGAAGTACGGAGGATAAGAGAAAGTTAACAAATTCAAGGGGTCGCTACTCAGGGTTAAACCAAGAGCCAGCCACCCAGGAAGCCTTGAACCCCGGGACAAATACCGAAGGAACCCAAAAAAAGATTGGCTTTACTCAAAAATAGAACTCCGTTTGACCAACATAGTATCGCTTGCAGCCTAGCCCTCCCGCCTACACTGGACCCTTGCCAGCCACTGTGGGCGATACGGCTCGGCTGCAATCAATATGCATGCTTTGCATAAGCCGTTCTCAGGCCCTTTGACTCTAGACCTAAATTTAAGTCAGAAAGGGTTGAAGGGCTCTTATATGGAGAGGACTTGGCCGTCAAATCCAGAGCGGGCTTATGCCCCTTGTCCTTCTCTTTCGATAAACTAGTTACCTAGATACTTACCCTGGGCTCCGGTGATTGAATGACACAACTCCTGTTGTATGCTTGCGCCCATTGGGTGTGCTGTTCATAGACGTGAAGAAGTGCTCCATAACCACATTGCTTCTCAATATCGTTGCCAGCACAGAGGAGAACGGAATTCAAGCTTAAAACAACACTATCAAAACGGAGAACTACACCTTCTGGGTTGCGCCATGCATTTTACATGCAGGGAGAACCACACAGGGTTTATAACGTGCACAAAGCTGGCCATTACGATCTGATTATCTTCAATTCCTATAAGAAAACGCGCTAGAACAGGTAGCTTACACTTGACACATTTTACTGGAGGCGTCCGAGGCCATTGGATCAACACCGGCCATGGCAGCGATACATTTTTGACCAGCAGGGCTGTTCGTGTAGTCGGACAAGCAGCGACCGTACGACTTCTGGTCCCGGAGGGTAATAGGCCTGAAACGATGCTAAATTGGAATGTGAACTTCATAAAAGGTGTCAGCTGATACGAAACAATCAGTTTCCCGATACTGTGTGCGGAGTTCCGCCCATTCTA